TGTACTATACATCAAAGTAGACACAATCAACAAAATGAAGAACAACTGACAATAAGGGAGAAAATATTTGCAAACTGCTTTTCAAGGGAGTTAAGATCCAGAATACATAAAGAACTACAACTCAATAACAATAATGAAACTAACTTAATTAAAAATGAGCAAAGGACTTGAATAGACATCTCTCTAAAGAAGATACATAAATGGCAAACAAGTACATGAAAACATGCCTATGATCACTAAATATTACGGAAATGCAAATCAAAACCCCAATGAAATACCATCTTACACCTATCAGGCGTCTACTACCAAAGATAGAGTAATGAGTGTTGGTGAGGACATGAAGAAATCAGAAGCCTTGTGCTGGTGAAAAGGTAAAACACATGGAACACAGTATGTCAGTTCGCCAAAAAATCGACAATAGAATTACCATAAGATCCAGCGATTCCACTTTTGGATATAAATCTCAAAGTACTGAAAGCAGAGCCTCAAAAAGATATATGTACATTCATATTCACAGCAGTATTACAACCTCCAAAGATGAAAGCTACCCAAGCGTTTAGACAGATGCTCAAAGTGTGGTATATACATACAAAAGGCTAATATTCAGCCTTAAAACGAAAATTGGTACGTGCTACAACATGGAATGAACAATGAGGATATCTGTAAGTGAAAAAGTCAGTCACAAATGTACAAATATCTTATGATTCCACTCATGCGAGTTAGACAAATTCACAGACAGAAAGTAGTAGACTGGTGGTTGCCTGGTGACGGGGAAGGCGAGAGGAGGAAATGGAAGTTACTATTAAATAGAGACAAAGTTTCAATTTTACAGGGTGAAAAGAGTTCTCTGGTTGTCTGCTGGTGACGGTAGCACAACAATGTAAAATTACTGAATTATGCACTCTAAGACTGTGAGGATGATAAAATTCGTTCTTTATTTTATCATCATAAAACAACTGAAAGTCATATTGCACTGATTGCACACAACTATCATTTGACCCTAAGCCCTGTGCAACCCTTCCTCGGGACGCTTTCATATGTCATTTACTCCTGGCATGACCCAGGAGCAGACAGGGTAGGTAAAGGGAATAACCGGACTCCTAAAACAACTCCTAAGTGATTGCCAGGGAACCCAAACTCTTCTCAACTCCCAGGTCGGTGCGAGACTCTCCACAATAACGCTGCCCTTCTTTGGGTTGCTGAGCTTGGGGAAGAGACAGAAGGCAGGCCTGGTGGCTAAGGGCTTTGGAAAAGGAAAGGGAGGAAGGACGAGCAAGTGGGTTGGCTGGGTACGGGGAGGCGGCTGGCTGGGAGAAACAGGCGGCGACCAACCACTGCTCACTCCCGCCCGCCCCGCTCAAACGCACGCGCGCCCGCCGGGAGCTGGGCTCGGCCTGGGGCGCGGCCCGGGTCAGAGGGCGCAGCCTGGGAGGCGGGCTGCCTTGGGAGCGTCCCAGGGTCTTCAGCCCTGTCACTTCGTACCCTTGATAATGAGGTGTGCGGAGCCCGCAGTCCCCAGCGAGTCCCTCTTCTTGCCGCCGCCGCCGCCGGGGGCGACCTCACAACCCACAAGGGTCTCTGTCCCTCCGCCACTCATCCCGACTGGCTCCGCCTACTTCGCTGCGCCTGCGCAAACCTATATGGTCCGCTTTGGAAGAGCGCGTAGGTGTTTTCGTCATCAAAAGGCGTCGGACTTGCGTCTACTCAGTGGGCGGTTCCGAAACGGGGCTAGGTAGCGTAGCCAGGGACGTACTGGCAGTAACGGGTGCCGCCATGTTGGACTAGGGCATATGCTTCTGGAATAGAAGGTGCCTGAAAGTATCTCTCCCTGAAATCGCTGGGGCTCTTTGTGTGTCAGGGACAGTGGAGGGCACCTAAGGCGTAATTCTAACAGTAGCATAAATATATTACCTATATTAATATCTACCACCAATTTTTAGAAAACATTTTGGCATGCGCTGTCACATTTGGTCATCATAGGCATTCGGGGAAACACCTATAATGTATAACAAAAGAAGTAACAGGGAAAGGGTTAGGGGTTAAGTGACTTGCACAAGTTCCTTGTCAGACTCACTTATGCCCATGTGAAAAAAATTCTCTGGCATTTGTATTTACAAAATGTCAACCGTTTTTTAAATGGAGTGAGATAAACTATGTATAATTATGGAAAGGACTGGTTTGCAAGGCTTCTTTGAATTGATGTAGTGAAGAGAAAACCACAGGATTGCCATGTACCTAACTGTTGCCATTTGATAAACTCCATAATGCACATCTTGTCGTTTTAAAAAGCCTTCATGCTTTCCCAAGAACCACGTGCAACTTCCCAGGAGTTTCTTTACTTCCCATGTTATCCAGTGGTTCTAAGAATCATCTCTGCTCTCCCTTTCTTTCTCCCATCTTCCTAAATAGTCCTGAACTTAAAAGGTCTCACAGTCTAGTGCTGAGGAAGGAATATAAGCCAACATGTACAATAAAGGCGTATGAATAAATGATAAGGTGGAGGAAGGTGCGGCACACACGGCAGGACACTGGGGTGACAGGTCAGAAAAAGCTTCCCAGAGGAGGCAAAGCTTGGTTCCCAGGCCTTAAAGAGAGGCATCTGGGATGGGGTGGGATGGGCAGGTGAAGAAGGAACTTGGGGTTTCCTAGCAGAAGACACGATAACCCCAAACAGAAAGGACATCAAACAGATGAATTAATAATAAAAAAAAAATCTTAACTTAGTTAACTGGTAATAATTGGGTCTGACTTCTAAACATTCAGTTCTTACTTTCATTTCCTTACTTTTATTATCAATCTCTAAAGAGCCTAATTCTTTTTAACATCATTTGGTATTCTCCCCACTTAGGCAATTTCTTTAGTCAAGCTTTTTTTTTTTTTTTTCCTGTTCCTGCAAATCTTTTTCTTTTCTTTTTCTTTTCTTTTTTTTTGTCCCTGGGATTGAACCCAGGGGTGCTTAACCACTGAGCCACATCCCCAGCCCTTTCTAATTCTTATTTAGAAACAGGGTCTTGCTGAGTTGCTAAGTGTCTTGCTAAGTTGCTGAGGCTGGCTTTTGAACTTGGGATCCTCCTGCCTCAGCCTCTGCGCTGCAAGGATTACAGGCATGGGCCATCCCACCCAGCTGTTCCTGTAAATCTAAAAGACTTTTAAGCTGTCTTCTTAGTGTCTTTGAACTACTGAAAAACCTGAGAAGGCTCACTATTGCACAGTAAGGATGGATGCTCCTCCTATGTTACTGTGGATGTTTTTAAAAAAATGCAGATTTCATCTCCAAAAATTGCCAATTGATTGTGTTATAAGTGATAAAAGAAATTCTGGCTGCATTAGCTTAAGACTTGAGAATCAACCAGAATTTGGTTCAAACTCTAGCTCACCACTTAGCTGCAGTTACTTTCTGTAAAATGGCAACAAAATATTCACCTTGTCAGGTTGTTGTGATGATTAAAGATGATAATACCTTTAAAGCAGTTAGTAAAATTCCTGGAACATAGTAAATAACCCCCAAATATTTTTACCTACAGTAACCTCCTCTGCCCGCTCTTTAAGTGCTAGATATTCTGCTTTAATTCTTTTTAATTTTTTTCTTTTTAGTTATACATGACAGTAGAATGTATTTTGACACACATATATATATATATATATATATATATATATATATATATATACACATATGGAGTGTAACTTCCATTCTTGTGGTTGTACTGATGTGGAGTCTCACTGGTCTTGAGTTCATAAATGAATATAGGAAAGTTATGTTTGATTTATTTTACTGTCTTTCCTATTTCCATCTCCTCCCTTCCCTTCATTCCCCTTTGTCTAATCCAGTGAACTTCTATTCCTCCCAACCCCCACTTATTGTGAACCAGCATCCGAATATCAGAGAGAACATTCTGCCTTTGGTTTTTGGGGATTAGCTTATTTCACTTAGCATGATAGTCTCCAGTTCCATTCATTTACTGGCAAATACCATAATTTCATTCTTCTTTACAGATGAGTATTATTCCATTGTGTATTTGTACCATATTTTCTTTATCCACTCATCTGTTGAAGGGCACTTAGGTTGGTTCCTTAACTTAGCTACTGTGAATTGCTGCTCCAATTCTTCTAATCACCCACCACTAAAATATCTCCTACCTGCTTAGCACTTGGAAATGTATAAAATGCTATCACATATCATATGCCATATATCTCCTAATCCTCTTATTAACCTAATAGAGGGTTTGAGGAGGATCAATTTCAGAACTCCCTCTGAAACCCAAATCGGTAAGTCCCTTATATAAAAGTTAATTTTTTATAGAAGCTATGCATATTCTCCGCGTAGACTTTAAATCACCTACAGATGACTTATATACCCAACATGATAAAAACACTATATAAATAATTGTTACAGGCTGGGGCTGGGGCTCAGAGGTAGAGTGCTCGCCTGGCATGTGTGAGGCACTGAGTTCAATCCTCAGCACCACAAAAAAAAATAAAGTAAAGGTTTTGTGTACACCTACAACTAAAAAATACATATTTTTAAAAAACTGTTATTCTGTATAGTTTAGGGAATGGCAACAAGGGAAAAAGTCTTCATATGTTCCAACACAACCATCATCGGCCTACCTACATGGAACATGTCAGTCATAATGTTAAAAGATACTTTCATCGTGGTTGGTTGAATTCCCAGATGAAGAACCCATTGACTGGTCAGGAGGGCCATTCTCAGATAAGGAAACAGCAGGTCAAGGACAGCGGTAAAATCTCCAAAGATGGTCATAGTGGTTCCTCCCCTTCCCGCACACACAGGAATCATGCTGCTTGCACTGTCAAGAGACAGGGCTCATGTCGCCTCCCCTTGAATCTGAACTGGCCTTGTCGCTGCTTTGACCAACAGAACACAGTGGGAAAATGTCTGTGCCAGT